TAATAATAAATAATATAAAAATAGTATTAATATTAATAATATTAGTAATATTAAAGGAAATTTCTTTGTTATCGACAATAGTCACGGATAACTATAATAAAATTCCAATCATTCATATTGATTACAATAAATTAATATAAAATATTAAACTTCTGTCATCGATAATGATATTTTTCAACTAAAAAAATGTGAACCATTTGTGATAATTATTCATAAACAGAATAAATCGAAACTAAATTTTTTTGTAATTTCATTTTTTGAGAAATTATTGAGATTTTAAAAAAAATTTGAAGATAACTGTTATTTTGGTCATCCATTTGGATATCAAACTAAAATTCATATTTTCATCTAACAGAAAAAAGTAAGGATCTGAAACTCGAAATCTCGAAACTTTTCGGAACTCAAAAAGTTTCAAATGCTCAAAATTCAAAACTATTTGTTATTTTCATAATTCGAAACTCTCGAAGCCCAAATAAATAGTAAATAATATAAATTTTTATTTTTCTACTCTATCTCTAGTTTTGCGTAAACGTTCGTTCTACAAATAATAAATTCTTTATAGAAATCTGATATTCCGCAAATTATGTTTATTTAAATTATTTTCAGTTCCAATATATTTAAGTTTCATTTAATTACATAATTATATTCAATAAATAGATTGATTTTCTAAAAAAGATGTATTATAAATTCAATTCCTGATAAAATGAATAATATTATTATTAGAAGCATAGAGAAAGGGTAAGTATTTAGAGTTTCTCGAGTGTCGAGTATTTCGAGATCTCACAAAGTTTCTAATCCAAGTTTTGACAATCTACAAATTTCATTTCGACCCATCTCCAAAAACCAAGTAGTTCTATAATTTCATTTACCATCAACAAGATGCTTTAATGCTTCTGCAAAATAGCAAAAGTAAACCTTTCCTGTTCCTTTCCTTTATTCCTTATTTATCATTCTCGTAGAGAACGTAGAAGAAGAAAAGAAAGCCACGAAACAGAAAATATATTTCAGTGATCCTCGAAAGTATCGATGAGAATGGTCGTCGAAGGGAAGAACACATAAACGTGGATACGACGAACATGCTCGCTCCTGTGAAGAACATGACTATCTTAGTGCATCAGAGTCAGCACGAAGGTTGCATGCACGTCTACATTGATTGCGCTTATCAAGGTGTGATACCATTGAGGAAAACCTTCCGGAAATTTGCAGAAAACGATGACAATCTTCCTGTAAAAGCGGTGAGTCATTTCAATAAAAAGATATATCGACAAAATTCTTTTTCTAGGTACATTATTAAGGCTATAGTAGGATAGAAAATTTGAAATTTTGTGTGTATACGTAATGTAAATTCTTTTTTATTTTGTTAATTAAAGTTGAATAAATTTCTTGTATGTGTAATTGTATATTATAGTACACTAAAGTAAATTGTAATATATTTATAAAACTGTATTATAGTGCATTATATTAGATTGCAGTAATAATATTGTACTATGATTTACTGTCTTATATTATATTATATTATTGTATATTATTAATACTGTATTACTACATGCTATGTTAAAATACAATAATAATATTATATTAGAATATACTATTTTATAATATACTAGTAATAGTATTTTATATGTTATCGTATATTATACATGTACACTTACTATAATATAATCATAACAATGGGTTAATTCAACAATGCAATTAAAGTCATATATACCAATAAGTATAATAAACTCACTATGCATTTCAAATGGATACACATCAAAACGTTACTTCATATCAAGCTATAAAACAAATAAACAAATAAGAATCTCTGATAATAAGAATCTCTGAATCAAACCTAATTTATTGAAAATGAAACATTTTCATTTATCAAAACCTACACACAGTGCCATTTAAATACTACCACACACATTGCTTCAGTTTCTATGACTTGAAAACTAAAACACCATAACAAGTTCAAATAATCATCGTTTAGAAACAGCTACCAGGTTTGAAAGATACCAAATTTAACAATTCACTGCAACCATGCTTCTGTATACTTCTGAAAAGCAGTAGCTAATAATGAATTAAAGTAAACATCAGGCATATAGGTTAGAAACGTTTACTGCGGAAGAAGATAACAATCGATCTGCCTATTTTCACGTTACCGTAGGATAAATCATAGGATAAACGTCCAAACACGTTACTTTCTTCTTTTTTCCTGTCATCAAGAATTTCACAGTCGTTAACGGAGGAACGGTGACGTTAGATGTCGTAGGACGATGTCTTTCCAAATATGGCCGGTCGGTCCAAGGCTGCTCGCCTTTATTACGTACAGCTGCTAACTCACGTAACGCATTTAAGCATAGTGAATTGATTTCGATTCGCTTAGACTTCATCCTTATTGAATATTCACGGCCCACTTTCTTGCGGTTACGTTCGGGATATGCATAGAAAAAAACAATGATGAATCGCGATCGCGTAATTTATGGTAGAAAGGGTGAGCAAACAAGTCTCTTTTTTTCACTCCTGTTTTCCTCCTCGGCGTTCAATATTCATGAAAACTAGTTAACGTTTTGTTTTTTTCTTTTTTTAGCAAATGACGTTTCATGCGTTCTATGAAAATAAACTTGTCGGAGGTGGCATTGTTTACTAACTTGCACTTCGTTATTTTATGGTAGTATTGTAATTTGGTATTGGTTGTAATAACAGTAATGACAGTTGTAGTAACAGTTAGTAATAACTGTGTATTAACAATAACGTTTTGTATGTAACTGAAAACGTTTATAAAGTTGATCAATTTTCTTGTTGCTCGAAATGATTGGTATCCTGATTAGGTACCTGCATTGTTAGATATAGTTAAATTTCGCGATGAGAGAAGTAAAAGTATGCGAGTTTTCATCGAAAAATTTTCTGATTAGATGAAATTTGAACAGCTATTTCGATATTTTAAGTTTTTGTAATTTGTCTCGAAGTAACTGTATTTGAATAATTTAAATATTAAATAGTTAAAATAAAATAATTAATAGATATTGGTTGAAAAGATTTTCCATAGGTAGATCGAATTAATCCAAAATGATCTATAATATTAGTATATAAAAGAAATATGGAGAAACGAATTTATCCATTTAAATGGTAATAGTAAATCATTAATCATTATGTGTATGAAGAAGATGATTAATTCTTAAAGATATCTTATCATAGAAAATTTTTATCATTCTTAAAGGTAAATAAAAATGAAGCGGAAGTTGCATTTAAACACTGAGTTGGAATTACTATACTAGTCAAGATACAAATAATCGTTTATGATTTTCTGTTTTTGAATTTATTCAAGACACGTAGATGATTTTGATACAAAATAATTATGATTTTTATTGACATAAAAACATAATTATATATTGTATTTAATTATTCATGCTATATCACTTTAATTTTAGCATGTATGTATTCTCTATTTAAATATGCATTATACGTTGATTATTATAATGTTAAATAGGTATAAAAATTGTAAAAAAATATTAAAAATATCGTTTACATAGTTAGTTATTATGGGTTTTTTATTACATTACTCATTTTAAAAAATTACTTTTCTTCAAACTATCTCTTTCCTTTATAATACTAGTATTATTATAATTATACTAATTTTTGATATATTTTGATAAATTTTGATATATTTTAAGTTGACTAAAAACTATCTATTATCGGTCATCGATAATATAGTATATCGAATATATAGTATTAAATATAGTATTATCGATAACCCATAATTGAAACAATAAGAAATACTATTCTTCTTATAATCGTGTCTCTATCATATTCTTCATCATTTTGTTCGTTGTTAACCCATTGTACTATGATTTAATTCCAAACACTTTAATTGAAAACATCATAATTGTAAAAGTATTTAATTTTACTTAGTACAGAAATGTATTAATTAAGAAACAAAAAATATTTAACATAACTTAAAGAAATTGCATAGATTTCGAATATATGTACATATGAATTTTGCACAGATAATTAAGAGCTAACTATAACATTAGGTTGCCCAAAAAATGGCATTGCAATTTTTGGACTAGTTTCTATTAATTCTATAAAAATTATTCTATAATAATCTATTTAACTAGTGTCCATTTTTTAATAAGAAACAATGTTTTTAATTAGAATTTATTACTCCGGATCAAATTGGTCAATATATATATATATTATATTATTGAATAAAACTTTGTTTGTTTCAAACGAAATGATTATTATTTTAGGCTAAAGATATAGATATCATTTCTCAGTTAACCCAAAATATATCAATGAAGAACGTTTATATAATTATGCGAAAATTGTTAATTCTTTTGATACTGATAATTTATAATATTAGTATATAAAGGAAATTATTTAAAGAAAATTAGTATAATTATAATAATATTAGAGATTTTAAAAAAAAGTGTTAGTTTGAAGAAGAGTAATTTTTTAAAATGAGTAATGCAATAAAAAGAATTTAATATTCAAGAGTTCTGTCGATGGAAATTTGTGTTGAAGAAGCATCAAGTAATAAAAATGTCATATGGTGACAACGTTATATGTGTGGACAGAGTATCGAATAAATATATGTACATATACAAATATTTTTTTAAAAGTTTGGTATTTTACATTCTTAAATATAATGTTAACAAGATAAACTAGGTGTTAAAAAGCCTTTACACCTCCGCAATTAGAGGTGTAAATGACACTGATGTCATCTTATTAAGCATGCATGGGAAAAAATAGAACGTCATTTAAGTAAATATTCAATCTTAAATAAATATAATTCAAAAAATTCATTTGCTATAGAAATGGAGAAAAATCAATGAAAATATTAAGAAAGATTCAATTATATCGATATCCAGTTGGGTACAAGTAATTTTAAGCAACAAGTACAGTGTACCCAATTAATAACGCAGGGTTCCCAAATGTTAATCGATTTTGATAAAATTAGCGGAGAATATATTCTTGCAAAATTTTTCCAAAAAGTATTTAAACCGTATTTTTTTTATTGGCAATTATTCATCTTTAGAAGACGAAAATGCTTGAATGAATTGATAAAAATAATTTTCAAACGTGCTGATATTTTGGAAAATTACTTATGTAGTTAAATTTGTTATAGAAAGTGTATAACATTGGTAAACTAGAAGTTTTTCTGTATCGTTTATTTTTATAATTTTCTAGATATTGAGAAAAGTATAATTTTCATCTTCACCTTAGAAAATTACTTTAACTCCATAAATCAAGACTATTATTAATAAAAAAAAGGGTCTAATACTTTTTTAAAAACTATATTCTGTAACTACTAGTACATAGAAAACCTTTCGTGTAAGTACTATTGTTAAGTTTATTTATATTTAAAAGGAATATAAACAAACAACGAAACATCAGTTGTGTATATTTGAAAATTTTGATTTTACATTTATTTTTTCCTTAATAAATTTATAAAAATCATTTTATGATTTTATGGTATAATATCGAATGTTGACATTAGGTTCCTTATAAGCAATCAAGAATATATCGGGTGTTCCAAAATTCACGTAAGAAGTAATTTTGACAGAAAACAGGTTTTTAATTAAAAATTGTAAATATCAATCAACAATGAAGATGCATTGTTCTTTCACGTAATGATCCATTTTTAATAACCCTGAACTGTCAGCTGTTACGCTATTTTTTCTTTCGTTGACAACATTTTATCGTACAAATGGTGTAAAATTAAAATCTTGCGTAAATTTTGGGACACCGTATAGTCATAGGTAATCATAAAACGGTTCTTCACTATATACTTTTATACAATTTACGATGTTTCAGGAATAAATATCTAAACGAAGAATTTTCTTTTGAAAATTTCATTTTATCATTTTAGTAAAATCCTCGTCGAGCTTTAGTCCACGGACTGTATTTTGTATTCTTCTGGAGCGTGTCTTTCCAAGTTTTGCAGTTTCAATTTTTAATCAATTCTATGGACAAAATATCCATACCATTATTACATTAAATAAAATACATACTTGGCTAAATGATCATATAATTAAAGTTCATTTCGTTTCACAATAGATAAGGTACATTAATGATTTTTCTAACACCTGTCATGCTTGTCAACTATCAATAAGCCTAAGGCTAGAGTAAGTTCACTATAATTTTTCTACAAATTAAGTACCAGTTATTATCTATATACGAGTTAATCAAATTTAAACATGACAACAAAATAATAATTTAAGCACTTATAGTAGCAACAAAAAATTTGAATATTATAGATACAATCTTAAAGTCTAATATATATAGGGTGTCCCAGCAATGGTGGTATAACTGGAAAGGGGGTGATTCTACATGCAGAAACTAATCGAATATTTAATCGTAAATATTCAAAATCGATTCTCTCGACAATGAAGCTTCGAATGAAAAAAATTCGATTTTTATTTTCGATTTGTTCTTTTATTTAGAATCACTGTCCCCTCGATTGTACCACCATTATTCGTGTATTGATAGTCTATTCATATAAGTCATAACTAAGTGCACTCGCATTTGGTAAATATTCAAATTCGATTTTCTCGGAAAGGAAGCTTCGAATCAAAAAATTTGATTCCTTTTTTTCGATTAGTTTTTGAATGTAGAATCATCAATCAATCGTTATCATTGCTGAGGTACCCTGTATATATCTTGATTTATGTGTGTATGATTGGTCTCTGATAAATCCCATTTATAACAGGATATGACTGTATACAAATAAATAAATATATATAAAATTATTCTAACTTAACATTTTTATATGTAAAAAGATATTTTCAGTGCATTCGATGAATTATATCGTCCATTTTATCACAGGAGTAACTAATCTCTTGGTCTACAGTGTTTTTCTTCGTAAATAGAGTTAATCATCTAACTCCTGGAAATTATTATCCAAAATAATAACCAGTATATCTACTTAAAATATTATTACAACCAGTCCCACATGACTGTTTTATGTAACAATAAATTATTTCTTTTTTAAATACTGTTATAACAGATTGTCCAAGAAAACAAATGTAAAAAGCATGAAAACATAGATGTTTTGACAAAAGGTAGTATGTATTCATGGTATCGTAAATAAGCGAGTATAAATGATTTTTCTTCTATGGTGAATTTTTCTGCAATAAAGCACACTTGTGTAAAAAATTATTAAAAATTAGTCAACTTACTCTTTTTAACAACTATTATACCAAACTATATTGAATAATGCGTTATTTATATACCTTGATCTACATAATTACCAGATTAATCCTCTAATTTAATTAATTAACAAAAATAGAATTAAAAATGTTATACATTATTAAGAAATTATAACGAAAATATAGGGCATTTAAAAGTATCAAAAATATATGAATCCATTTAGAAAAATATGCTACTATCATGTATCTTTTACATATCCACCTGAAAAGAAACTAATTATTAAATTGCTTTCTACTTCAAACAGAACAAGTTCCATTTGAAACATTTTTGAAATAACAAACTCTTACCATTGTATTCACAGATTAAAACGAGTCACCCTGTATAACAAGCTCATAAGACTAAATTCGTTAAGATTGTTTTCTTTTATTATATCTCCTTTGTCAGTTACATTTTGCACTGATTGGCATTAGGAATTAGTCGAATTTATTTATCAGTTCAACCTCTCTTTAAAATACGTCGAAAAATGCATCACGATTTCGAAAAGCCAATTCTCAAAAATGCTGTGTTCAGTTTAGGGGAAGGAGGAACCACGTGAAAGTGTATCCACTAATATCCATCAGAGATACTCTAAAGCGAGAGAACTGCAATTTGGCTGACATGGACACGTTGCAGAACATCTTCAAGCTGAAAGAGTCACACGAATGTGCTCCAAAATCGACCAAAGATCATTCGGATGATTTCGACGAACTGCTGATCAACATGTATAGACCTCACATAAAGTTAAGCGGCAAGCAAAGTCATCATCGATCGAAAGCACATACGCACGACTTCGGTACCAGGTCCTCAGACGTGTCCGCAGATCAGTTCGACGATTTCGATGAATCGGATTTCAGAGAGACGCATCGATCGAATCACGATCATCGTTTCGCTGAGCGAGGTCAATCGAATTTATACGATAAACGCGTTAGCGAAGATGATAGCGGTAAATATGGTTCAACGAGTGACCTCGGAGTTGATCAGCCAGATCTTTCAAATCATATGAAACGAATGCAGCGAACACGAGCTGAGTACTTTGATGGAACTGTTCCTGAGAAATTAGGAAAGTTTAATCATTCTGATGAATTAGACGTGTTGAGTCAATCGGACGGGAATTATAAACGGGTTCCCAGAAGAGGGGACATAGCGATTCAATCTCTGGACGAAAGAGGTACGTAGCTAATATGAATTATGCGGAAGATGAGTTAAAAGAGTAATACCTTTGCTAGCTTTGAGAAACCATTATTTTCATTCAGCTAGTTAAATATACGTGGTCTGACGAATATCGAGTAAAAATTTCAATTTAAAGTTTTGAAAATTGACCAAGTATATGAACAGAGCGTGTTCAATAAGGAATTGGTAATAATCTAGATTTTCTTAAGATTGTCCTTAGAGTAATAAATGATAATAATAATTAATGTTTTATATTAGAAATTAATATTAGGAATGAATATTGGAAATAGACATTTTGTATTAAAAAATTAATAAATTTGTTCTTACTTCTAGTTCTTATTTGAAAATTAATTTTTCATATTAAAAAAGTAATAAACTTATTTTAAATTCTTATTGGCAATTAATATTTAAAATTAATACTTAATTCTACTTAATACTTAATTTGTAATTTTCATAGGACGTACTTACATAGTACTTGCATAGTTATATTTTTTAACAAATATAATGTTATATATACAATCAACAAAATTAAAAAGCAATTTGATACTTGTCAGCTATATAACATTTTGTAACATCAATGTAATAAAATCATAATTGCTTATAGTGAAGGATGTTTGTCTCATAGTAATGTTTTTATGATGCTTCTTTTATGACAGCTAATTGATTAACCAGGAAGTTAACGCCTAGATATTCCTTTATAGCCTAATGTAACATTTTTATAATCCTGTCAATTACATTGATTTATAATATCCATTTTTATCTCCAATACACAATTAAATAAACTGTATGCTAATTTTTAATAATCACAATATTTCATATATATATTCTTGTATAAAATTGAATTGCTGATACAAATTAATAGTCACTAATATTTCAGTAATAACAAATTGAATACATAAAATTATTACATATGCAGAAAATTATTACATTTTTTCATGTATCATATATGAATTATAAATATCAAATATTTTTCAACATCAAATTCCTCATATGAGCTTACATAACACAAACACAACTAATGATTTTTATATCTGATATTGATCCTTGTTTGTTATCTCTGATCTCAAAATCTGAGTAGAAGAAAAAAGAAATACAAACCAAATAAAATTATAATACTGCAACTATTTCCGTATAAATTTCTCATATTAATGTATAAGTAACGATATTTTAGTTATTTACAGATCGAAGTCATTGAATTTTTTAAAATTTTAATAACAGAATCCTTGTTAGTTGATGCTTAACATATTTTATAAATTTATATTTTTTATTTTGTAAAGTTAATCGATTTGAAAAATGAACACATCATTTATAACTACTATATAACTGAATTATTAAGTGATATTAAAATATTAATTACCTATTTAAATTAACTAATTGTGAAATGTAATTTCGTAGTTTGCCTAACGGATAATCAGATTGTGAAGACATTGAATGAGCTGATCGAAGCTACGAAGAAGGTCTGGCGAGAAATAGAATTAAACGTGAGTAATAAAGTCGGTCATAATTATTCAAGAATGTTTAATGGATAGTTAATGATATGTTCTTTTTTCAGAGACTGGAAACACAACACCTTCGGCAATTAATCGAAAATTGCGCAGCCTGTCGTATGCTCCCCGGTGAGTGAAGTTCAGCTGTATTGAAAGAATTATTAATCAACAGGAAAATATCTTGTTTGTCTATTTTTTCAAATTTTCTATATGTTCTTCTTCGACGCTACTTTCCTTGCTTTTTTTCGACTGTTTGATCCGTGACCAATTTCCATGCGTTCAGCAACAATTTTTACAAACAGCAGTTTTTACGAGTATCTACATCGATGTACAACATGGTCTTACGTTGCAATAAATATGTGTTTTTGGCAAAATGAAATAATTTTCTGACTCGTAATTTCATGGGACGTACCGTGTAAAAGATGTCTGAAAAGTAAGAGGAAATTAAAAAATAAGGAAAAATGTCTGTGACATATCTGGAATTCGATGAAAAAGAAATTTTAACCGATTAACTTTGAATAAAGAAAGTAATTATAACTTCAAATCAACTTCAAAAAGTTAATCGAAATATAAAACATGAAAATTTCTAAATAATTATACGGATAGTAATTAAATGATAAACAGCTTTTTTTACAAAAAGTAAAAAATTCAAGGTACAAGGAAACATACTGAACTTCACGTCTTTCAATTTTCAATAATAAATCATAACGTTGGAATAAAAATAAAATTTAAATTTACTTTAAAAATGATTACTCTAATATCGATATAGAAAATGAATATAATAGGGAAGGTAATATAAGAGTTATAAAAAATCTTATGTTACCATATCAATGATTACATAACAAATTCATTAGTCCAATTAGTCAAATTCATTATATAACAAATTCATCAGTCTTGATTCCTTCAGATGGACATGGGGCTGTATTGAAATTCAATTGATCATAATCACTAAATACTTAAAGAATCTTAGTTTTCCATGGAAGTGATCAAGGATAAAGTTCCTCGAATAACAATGATTCATTAATTCGAATCAGCGTTAACCAACGCGATTTAATAAATAAACGATACTATCGTATCTTAATCAAGAAAACTGATGTCACTGATAATATAAGGGTTAACCTATAAATCAAGATACTAAGAAAGTGACTGAATTATTACGAAGACCTCTTAATATGACGACTATGAAGATACATACCCACAATAATGAATTCACAATATTTTATGAAAATTATTTAAATTTATAATAATTCATCTTTCCTGATTTTCTTCGATTATCTGCAGTTTAAAGTATTCGAAAATATCAGTACAGTTATGAATAAATAATATTATCTGAAAAATATAATAATATTTTTTTAGAAAGACATACAAACTATTTTTCCATAGGTTATAGATTTTTAAAAAAGTTAGTGATTGGTCTGGTAGAGACAAGTGTACTACGTTAATCATCGGTAGTTGTATCGTTAAAGCAGATTCCGTGTTTGCCCGGATCTGTTTTCGCGAAGAAAAATGTTGATGCAGACAGGCGGAAATTCGTCAAGTCGGAATGTGGCCGAGCTTTCTTCTTGGAATAGTGATATCCTGATAAGATCCTGGTCCTGGTAATTCCGTAGTTCCACCGACGACCACGACGGCAACTCCCCCTCCTAGTTGCGATTACAAGTCGCCGTGCTTCCCGGGCGCTGACTGCCGTAACACACCACGCGGGCCACAATGCGGAGCATGTCCGCCGGGTTATACCGGCGACGGATATCGTTGCATGAAAATTAGTTGCGCGCACAACCCTTGCTTTCATGGTGTTCAATGCTACGACATCGCGAATGGATACAGGTACGAACACTATTATTTAATTTTGCCGCGCTAATGCAAATGCGTGACGACAAAAATGACATGCGCAGTCCGCGCAGTGCGCAAGACACTTGCGCAAGATGCTTTCCTGCATCGCAATTCAGGTTATTCTTATGCATCGTAAATACTTCGCATAGAATCTTTGTTGACACGCGTATGTGTATCGTGGAATGATTTAATGACATTAATGTATATTTTTCTTATAATTAGTGTATAATAAAGTTGAGAATTTGATCGATCATCTATTCGAATATTAAATTTATTGGTGTTAATTACCTAAATGATAGGTTATCGAAAGCAATAGATATTTCTATTAAAGGTTATATGCATTTCTACAATAATTTGTACTGGAACTACTTTGTAGAAGTACTTTATGCTTTTCTTTTGCTTTCAGATAAGCCACACGATATAGCAAACTTTTGTAATTATTATATGCTTTGTATATCTACATTCTTAAACTCCTATTTTATTTAAATATTATTTTATTATTATAGTTTATTGTTATATCATTATACTGGTGTAACAGTCTGTTTATAGCAATTATTTATTTCTAGGTTTCAAGTCAGGAGAATAAGAAACTATAATCATTTTAATTATAATTTTTTTTGTAAACAAATATTATGGTTATAAAGATTGAGAGAATTGAGAATGTTCTATTCTTTAATACTAATGTCATATACAGTACGTGACAAAATAATGGAACATTCCATAATTTTTGGTGTTTCTTGAATTATAAAGTGGTAAATCTCGGTAAAAACATCATATGATTATAAATTACATTTAATTTTATAAAGGAATAAGGGAAGGTTTGTATTATATCGTTAATAAAAATAGTGTAAAAAGAATTGTTTTCTTCTTTTGGTAAAGTTAATATTGATTTTTATTTAGACAGGAGTGCAATTATGTATATCTTTATAATTTTATTAATTATTTACTTTAATTATTTTTCTCTATGAGTATTATATTTGGATATGTATTAAAGATCGGTAATTCTAGTGTTACTTATGATTTTATGCTAGCATTGCCAGCTGTTTCATAGTAATTGGATATTTTATTAAATTGGATATTATATTAAAAAAGATTATCATAAATAGGTTCAATTAAAACTAGATTATAAATAAAAATAGTATCACGTATGCTGCCGTTAAGCGTAACCATAACCTAAATTTAAATAAAATTTTTTACAAATATTATGAAAAGTTACTCAGAATGATGACCTTGACGATATATCTCAAACTTATTATATTCATATCGTATCATGACATTCAGGATTAATTATTTTTTTATATAAAACAAAAAGATATTAATGAATATTTTTAAAATGCTTTCTTAATATGTGAGTTTAGTCTATAAAAAACGTAGAACATTACATGCAATGTTTATTTCTTATGCTAGATGGCACTAGTTTATATCGATACGAAAGGCTGAAGAACAAAATTCTTTACTAACACTAAACCTTCCATGATCAGTCAATTGACCATTTTCAAATTTTCGATTAAAAATTCTATTTTCAAGGTTATAGCTTTGGCCACTTAATGTGGCGACTTTTTTTTATAATACTTATAACCTTTATTTTATTTTATTCTATTATATTTCTTATAATAACCATTTTTCGATATCTACCTTTCTTCTTATCTCATTTCTTCTGAGTTTCCATATTTTGAGATTCCAATAAATAAATAAAATAATTTTTTTGGTGCGACTTAAAAATTATTTTTTTTTAAATTATTATTATTACATTAAATTAGTTATATTCAGTGACGATATGTATATATGAATTGTTTGTAAGCGTTAATAATTAAACCAAAAGATTTAGAACCTCTTCAGTATCTTAATTGAATGAACCAATTAGAAGGCAATGCTACAATTTATTTTGTCTGTTATCTCCTCATAATTGCAGGCTAGTTAGAGCGTTAGTTACGTGATATAAGGCAAAAGCTTGAAGAACACATGACAGAAGAACACATTTAGTTCAAGTACACTCTAATTGCACCAATGCATCAATTGCATCAATTTGATGCTTTAATTCAAAACTTTGCTATATCGTGAAGGCTAAGATTCTAAGACATTTTATCTTATTACGTAATTCGTTGATTATTATTGCAGTTTATTTTTTGATAAAATGATTTTTGCGGTCATCTCCTTAGTGAATATATGATTATTACTATATTATTACTATAGTATTATTACTATAATACTATAATCAATGATTATAGTATTAGTAGTATGATTATAGTATACTATACTATATAGTAGTATGATTATAGTATAATCAATGATTATAGTATTATAATTATGATTCATATATCAACGATAATTTAAATGGACCGTCATTTAAACAGAGATAAGTCTTTGGAAAATGATACTTGCTATTAATACAAATAAAGTAATTAATATATTGTTTACTTTTCCTTTTATTTACAAACTTTGGTTAGATAATCGGTATCTAATGTGTTATTACGAATTCATTAATGTTAATAATATTTATTAACATTATATAATGTTTTAAAAATATTATTAAAGAAGGGTACGAGTTGAAAAATTTTTTGCCATAAGGCTGATGATATTTTTTGAGCAGTAAATAAGAAATCGTATAATAATTAACACGTGGAATTATTTAATTTCGATACCTCGTACACTGTTACATTATTTTAAATTTGATATATTAATTAATATCGAGCTTCGAAATTTTATCAAATGGCGACTGAAAGGCGCCTTTCGAGTGCAAAGGGTTAATATTACATTAAATTTATATACGTATATTATTATTTAAAAATATTTAATAACAATATTAAATATTGAATTCTTTTGAAAGAATAAATATTATACAAATATAGGTACATAACACACGATTCACTTTTGTATTTAACAAAGAAAAATTTTTATACTATCAGATGACTTCATGTTACGTACCATATTTATTCATAATTTTTTATTAAAACGTTGGAATTATTTATTTTTTATGTTTAAAATTATTTAAAAGGATTATTTAATTACAGATAACATATTTAAAATATCATTTTAAATCATATTATGTAAAAAATGCATGATGAAAGCACTTCTAAATCTTAAGGTCAACAACTTTTTCTTTCTACAGAATATAGCATCATATATTAGATTTTGGATTATAGCAAAATATAAAAGAACATCGAATTTTGAGTAAAAAAGAAGTTTATTAACTGAAGTAACAGCGTACTTGTTCTCCTGTGTCGAATATTATTAAAATGTTATATTTAAAAAAAAAATATTTTTCATAGTAATATTATTATAATAATTTTGTATCCTCTGTATAAAAGGAAACTTCATATATCCACATACTGAAAAAAGCAAATTATGTGTCACCCATTCTTAATTTGGTGTATTTTAAATACAATTCATTATCTATTCAAATTTATGTAATTAAAAATGCTATTTGAGTTAGTATTTATTCATTAATCAAAAAAGTACTAAATTCTAGTTATTTTTCCTAGCTACAGTCCCAACAATCTATAGATCTTGGAAAACCGTTCTATCATAAAGCTACCTTCCATGTTTTTATACTCGTAGCTAATAAATCTTATCGCTTTTCTTATATTCATGTATATTTTAACTTGTAATAGTATAAATATTTTTCAGTTGTGGAAAATGTCCCTCCGGTTATGTAGGCGATGGAAGGCACTGTGAACGTCGTAGGAATGGCTGTGAGTCGCACCCCTGTTACTCAGAAGTGCAATGTGAGCCAGTTCTTTATCCACCGTATTTCAGGTAATAGTAATAGCACATCAAGTTATTTCATGCATTAACCTTCAACTGGTAACGGGATGTCAAATTGACTTTGTATAGATATCAATGACACGTGTCACATTATTGTATTTATGCTAGGGATGTTCGAGAACCCAAGATTTCAGGTTCGATTCGGATTGGATATTCTTTTAAGTTCGAATTTCTCAGATACCCGAAGATGAAGTATTTGTAATTGAAATTGGATACTGAATGTTTCGGGTACCTAAAATTAAAATCGAGTTTCGAATGTGTCAGGTACCCGAAAATGAAGTCGGTCACCCGAAGGTAAAAACGAGTATTCGTAATTAAAATCGAGTCTTAAATGTTTTGGGTACCCGAAATTGAAATCGAGTCCTAAATATCTCAGATACTCGAAAATGAAGTTGGTCACCCTAAGGTAAAATTAGGGTAATTGAAATCGGGTTCTGTACGTTTGAGGTACTCTAAATTGAAATTGGGTTCTGAATGTCTTAGATGTCCGAGGATAAAAACGAGTATCCGAAATTAAAATCTGGTCCTGAATGCTTAATATACCCGAAGGTTAAGTCGGGTACCAGAAGGTAAAATCGAGTACCCAGAAGTAAAATCAGGTACTGAAGGTAAAATTGGGTATTCGAAATTGAAGCCGGGTACATGAGGTTTCGGGTACACGAGGGCGAAATCGAGTACCTGAATGCCTCGGGTACCCAGCAATAAAATCAGGTACCGAATGTAAAATTGGGTATTTGAAATTGAAACCGGATACAGAAGGTTTTGGGTACACGAGGGTGAAATCGAGTACCTGAATGTCTCGGATACCCGAAAGTAGATTCTGGTTCCGAAAATTTTCGTGTTATACGATATAAGCATGATTTTTGATGTTCGTTCACAAATTTTCCACCTAAATATTCAGATTTGAAAGTGTTATCGTAGACATTCGGGGCTTGGAAAAATTTCGGATCCAGACCTGACTCGACTCAATTAGATCACTACTCATCCCGTACCTGAAACGAAAAATTTTAGATAAAATTAAGTTTTGCATCTTCTAATTAGGCAATTAATTTTTAGATGCGGTCCTTGTCCAAACGGATACGCTGGTAATGGTTCCACGTGCATTGACATAAATGAGTGCGAAATAGCGCAACCTTGCCATCCAGGAGTACGATGTATGAATCTCCGTCCAGGGTTCAGATGCGAACCATGTCCACCAGGATACACTGGGGTACCAATGGAAGGAATTGGTTTGGAATTTGCAAGAGGTCGTAAACAAGTCTGTCAAGATATAAACGAATGTGAAAATAACAATGGAGGTTGTGATCCATATATGGAATGCATTAACACGGAGGTAATTTGTAAATAGTAATGCAATTTTAAATGCATTTTTTTTTAATTATACATGATTTATAGTCTGTATCTATTTTATATCTATAAAATATATGTATATTATCTATAATTTATAAATAATATATGTATATAAAATGAAATATATAAAAATGTCTGATTCTTATATATTAATTTAAACAAAACACATTTATTGTCATTTTTTAATTATATATGATTTATAATCTGTATCTATAAAATATCTATTTTATATCTATTTTATATCTATAAAATATATGTACATTATCTATAACTTATAAATAATATATGTATATAAAGTGAAATATATAAAAATGTCTGATTCTTATATATTAATTTAAACAAAACAAATTTTTTGTCATTTCAGGGTTCGTTCAGATGTGGTGCTTGTAGAGCGGGTTTCATAGGAAACCAAACAGTTGGCTGCCACCCTAGACACAGTGTCTGTCCAGATTTAATAACTGTTTGCGACGTAAACGCAGACTGCATTTGCATCGAGGCAAATGAGTACACATGCAGAGTAAGACCACAGGCCTAATTTGACCATTTTTGTTTTTTTAAGTTTTTGATAATTATGTATTGTGTATCTAACTTTTGTATTAACTTAATTACTTTATATATGAACACATTATGAGTTAGGTGATTTTAATTATTTAATCTTAATTTTAATTATTAAATTATTAAACAAATTATTTAATTTTAATTTTTTTTTAGAAAAAGGTATCTTTTGTCTTGATCAAAATTTTTTCTGTGTATTTTTCTTGAACCCTCTATTGCTGCAATTTTCTTTTTTTGTAAGAAGAAAAATAATAACTGAGCTTCTTACTCTATATTAGAAATTAAAAATTAATAATTGCTATAAGTTAACCGTTTATGAAATATTATTTATGAAATATTGTATGTAGTATTAAATTGTTCAGTAATGAAATTCAAACATACAGTACCAAATAAATTGAAAAAGGATTTAAAAAATATGAAGATGTAATAAATATACTTTCTAATTCACATTATATTAGTGAAGCAAAAAAATATTGTTACACTATATTACAAGGAAAATTCAATTGTTGATTTCATTTGTTTAAAGTGATATACTATTGAATGAAACTTCACGAGTATGTATATCATATCAAATTATATTATACAACAATTTTGTTTATGTAATATTAATTTAAGCAGGTGAAATCATCGATTAAATTTTTAAGGCCCTTTTCGCTTTTTTAAATATATCTTTGTAATAGTACAAGATATAATAAAACCTTTTATAAAATTCTAAAAAGATTTTGAAAAAAAAAAATTATATCAAGTGCACGAGGAAATACTGAAACTTTAAAAGCCTATTTGGTCCCCTTAAAGGGTCTAAGAAAATTGCTTCATGTAGAACTCATTATACTCTACATATACACAAGCTTTTATTAAAATTAAAACTGTCTGATTAGATAAATTTTCTTGTAATATAGTGGGCCAATATTTTTTGGACCCACTATGTATTAGAAACCATTAAAACACGAAAACTATAATTTCTATAATTTCTAGTGTCGCGTTGGATGGGCAGGAGACGGTCTGACTTGTGGCCTGGATAGGGACAGCGATGGAATTCCTGACAGAAATCTCCGCTGCCATGATCGACGTTGTCGCATGGACAACTGTCCATTGATACCGAACAGTGGCCAAGAGGATGCGGATAGAGATGGCATCGGTGACGCGTGTGATCTGGACGCCGATAATGATGGCGTCTTGAATTCTTTGGATAACTGCCTTTTAATCCCGAATCCCGGTCAGGAGGATACTGATCGCGACGGTCCCGATTCAATCGGTGACGTCTGTGATAATTGCCCACTAGTAAGAAATCCGAAACAGGAGGACACCGATGACGATGGCATCGGTGATGCTTGTGATGACGACATCGACAACGATGGTAAGGATTTAGGAAATAAATATAGAATTTAGGAAAAGCAAAGTTCTTTATTTTCAAGAGCGATTGAATTTCAAATCTCTAAGAATTTTATTGTATTAATTTATAAATGAGGAGATCTGCTATTGCAGTTTTTGTTAAATAAGTTAAAAATTATACTGCATTTATGTTCTATCAGACAAATTTAACTTACTTTCTACCAATTTTGAATTTGGAACAGGAAAATGTTTATTCTGCAAGGCTTCGTACTTTTAGTGATTTTAGTGAGTATTTTAATAATATAAAATGAAGAAGGTTCAGGAATAAAATTTCGATATTTTTATAATAAATAATTTTTAATTTTTGTTACTTAGGTTTATTTTAATATGAACTTTTTTAAATTGTTCGACGTTTACAATGACTGCTTGTAAAATATTTCACTATGAATTGGTGAAATAAATTACGCTTTTAGCTTTATTTTTTCTTAGTAAGATTCAAATTATATATATAAAATAAATTTCTTTTTGAACTAAGAGTTATTCAATGTTTAACATATGTATAATCTTAAGATGTTTTAAGTCCATTTTTAAGTTTATTGTGTTTTATTTATTATGTTTATTTCATAATATAATAATTTATAATCAACAATAATTGTAATTTGTAATTACTAGAAACAATATTTTTAAATTAAAATTAATTTATAATATACCTATAGTAAAAATTTATTTATAAATTCTTATTTATAAAATCTCTAAATAAATTTGGGATATAATAAAAAATATAAAAATTCGAAGTATGGTCAAAATAGTTTTTAATTTTGCAACAAAATTTTATTTTTGGTATAAAAAGTACCAAATATATCGAAAGTACTTCTTTATTTTTTTCAAAAAATTAAATTTTTTACATAGAAGATTCTGTAGGTATCAAAAATAGCTTACAATTTCTTTGAAAAAAATTCAATTGTATATCTATGTATATAAAAAAATCAACGTATAATTAAAAATAATCCAATTTTATAGGTATTCCAAATCACCTGGACAATTGCCTAAGAAGGAAGAATCCAGATCAAAGTGACGTAGACATGGATGGAATTGGTGATGCCTGTGACAACTGTCCTTTCAATTTCAATCGAGACCAATTGGATCAAGATGGCGACGGGGTAGGTGATGCTTGCGACAACGACAACGATAGGGACAGGGATGGTGTACAAGACGATAGAGACAACTGTCCTGATATAGCAAATCCAGGACAAAATGACGATGACAGAGATGGTATAGGAAATGAATGCGATAATGACATGGATAATGATGGTGTACCGAATGACCGTGACAATTGTCCTTACGTATATAATCCAGATCAACGTCACACTCATAGTAAGTAGATTACCATTAGACCGTAAATAATATTTACTATAATAAATAACTGTGAATATATGTTAAAATAATAATAGTAATATATATACATTTTTAAATTTATTTTAATTTAATTTAATTTAATTTATATGTATATAAATATAAATATATAAAAATTATAATAAATAATATAATATAATAATATAAATTTACTCATAAGTTTGAGTTTTCAAAAATTTAATTAAAAAATAAAATTAGTCAATTTTTGCGGTAATAATAAATTATTTCTTTGATAAACTTAAAGCGTCACAAATTTCATTAAAAATAAAGTTTGGAGAGAACAGAGTTATTTCCTTCACAGATGAAATTTTATAGAGTATATCTATAACAATCATTGTTAAAGTTAAAATTATTTTTCTTAGAATTTCAGAGAATTTTGTATGTATTATAAATAATTTTTTCAGCCTCGAACAGTTTTTCTATTTATTTCTTATTAATTGAAATTAATTTTTTGTTAAGCTTTTAAACATCAGCGATAAAATATGCTGCTTTAATATAATCTAATAATAAAAGATTGTTTAAATTAGTTTAGAAGTTATTAATTTTGATCATAAGTAATAAATGAGTAAAACTGATTCTATAAAATGGCTGCAAAATTAGATATTGCCTGAAGATCTCCTGATTAATGAAAATTTAAAATACCGTCTTTTCTAAATAACAATAAGTTCTTAATAAGAGATTTTTAATTATCTTACAATAATATAAAACTGTTTAAACAAATATCCTATAAAATTATATTTAATTGGTTGGAAAAATTTATAAGTATGTTTTCCATGTATTATTTATTTATTCTTAATGTATTATTTTTTTATTCTTAACTTTTACTTACGTTAATTCTTTACAACTAGAATTTTATTTGGTTAGGAAAAAAGAATTATCATTGAGCGCATCCTACATTACCTACATCCGATAACGTAACTACTCGGTAAATCAATAACGTACTAAAAAGATTTGAAATTAATTTCTTGATTTTACTGGCAATGGAAGTACATAATTATCACGAGAGTTATTCACAAACCACAAGCATATTTAAAAGAATGATCTAAATACGAGATATTCGATTTGATTGCTTTATATGAACAATATCAATTATTACGGGATACATAATAATCCAAATATTAAAATCATGAAAAAAAAATTTTTTTTCCATTGTCCTCATCTGTGCAAAATTACGAAATTTTTGGACATCTTCAGTTTGAAATTCTTTCGTAAGCGAAGAATATACATTATTAATATATAGGTGCGTCTATGGTTAATTTATGTTTTAATCCAGCAACCATGACCTAGTAATCAAGTGACCGAGTTAAACTTTTGGTTCGAAATCTAGTGAACACTTATAAAATTACGTTGAACATCAATTAAGAATTTATATTTTAATCAATAAAACAGGATTAACCAAAAAATCACATAAATATAGTTTAAAACCGGTTTAAACGTTTTCCAAAACTTGAGATCTTACGAAAAATAAAAATATTTATACGAATCATTGTTTTCCGTAAAGTTTAATTTATTTATAAAATAAAATTATTATAATGTATTAATGAGTAAAACATTATTTCCTCTAATTTTTTGTTGCTTTTGGTCGATATACGTAAAAATAAAGAAATATACAATAGTTTTTAATTAATTTTATTTAATTTGTTTTTTTAAATAAAGTTATTTTTTAGAATAATTTTATTTCATTTCTTAACTTTTGTTTGTAAGCATAGATCAGTAAATCTCGTGTTAATTGGTTTCCAAAAATATATTGTATTACTATTATATTAATAATATCCGTGTGTGAAATTCATTGCTCGTATATAAATAAAATAACACTATGCATTTTCAGATGATTACATTGGTGATGCTTGCTGGAACGACAATGATAACGACACTGTGAAGAACAAACACGACAACTGTCCAAACAATAGTTTAATTTGGACAACAGACTTCAGAAAGTACACTACAATTGCTTTGGACCCCATTGGTACTGCTCAAGAAGATCCAGTTTGGGTAATACATAACGAGGGTGCTGAAATTCAGCAGCTTGTAAATAGTGATCCTGGAATTGCTATTGGTAATATATTAATATATACAAACATAATATAATATAACAAAGAAACTAAAATACATTTTAAATATAAAATTATACGAAGTGCCGAAACTAGGGTTTTCAAAAAATATCGAAATCGTTAAATACAATAAATATCTAGCATAATTTCTACATATACGTATTATATGAAGCGATACGAGATTCTTAATCTGAAGATTTACCTCTTTTCATTCTTTCTGCGCCGTAAAAATGGTGATGAAGTTATAAATAACAAAATATTACTATAAAAGAATTTGCGATTCTTAGATTTCGAAATTTTCATTTCGGATCAATATGATTTCTCAGGTATTTGCATTAAAATTGTAAAGAGATATTTCAAATAAACATAATTAAAAAATATTCAATATAGTAATAGTATAGTATAGTAAAAATTATTAAAAAATATTCAATATGAAATTAAGGACATATTAAATTTTTTTATTATAAAATTTAATTTTTTGGGGGGAATTAGAATTATAAGGGATATTTCAAACAAAAGTTAAATACTTGTCACATGATAACAAATTGCAATAGTAAAAATTATTAAAAAATATTCAACATAAATTTAAAGACACCATAATTTTTTATTATAAAATAAAATTTTCTTTGTAATAAAAAAGTATATTTGTATTCTATTCGAAAAGGAATTAAGAGTCTCAAGTCGGAAATCGAGTAGTTTAGATATCATGAATTTCGTCCCGGACACCCATATGCATACACTCGACATTCTGTGATACCCGTGAAAGTTATTTACTCAATTTACTTGTAACGAAATTAGCAAGACCTGTGGGAGTTAATACTAGACCGTACACACTGGTTAGGTTAGGTTCCACTGATAAAAGGGTCATAAATTCTCAGAGTGAAATTCACTCAAAAATGTTTATAAAACAACCAAAAGATTCGTGTTTTAAGGCATTCCCATAAATATTCAGAGGAATTTTTCTTTCCAGCATAATATGATTATTTATTTTAATTAACGTTTCACCAAATCCATCAACTGAAATTTAAAATTAATTTACATCAACCATGATTATTCATTTCTTCTTATTTTTCTTTCTAATATTTTACCTGATTTCAACAGTCAATCCAAACTTTTCACTTTCTTAATTTTGATTCTCTGTCTCTATTAGGTCCAGATATCTTTAGTGGCGTAGACTTCGAGGGTACCTTCTTCGTCGATGACGATGGAGACGACGACTCTGTTGGTTTTGTGTTTTCCTACCAAGACAACCGTAGATTTTATATCGTGTCTTGGAAAAAGGGTCAACAACCATATTGGATGCCGACTCCATTCAGGGCGGTAGGTGATCCCGGGATCTTTTTGAAACTCGTAGACTCGAACACTGGTCCTGGAGAATTGCTCAGAAACAGTCTTTGGCACAACGAGGACACCCCTAATCAGGTGAAAATCCTCTGGCACGATCCGAAGAAAATAGGCTGGAAAGAGAGAACGCCCTATAGATGGCACCTCTTGCATAGACCTAAAATCGGTTTGATTAGATTCCGACTTTACCAAGGGAAACAACTGATGGCTGATTCGAGAAACGTCTACGACTCGACTTTGAAGGGTGGCAAACTAGGTGTATATTGCTTCTCTCAGGAAAAGATCACGTGGTCAAATTTGCTGTACAAGTGTAAAGGTAAGAAATAATTTCACATTAAACAAGAATTGCAATTGTAATTATTTCTTTTTTCTTTAAAAATTACGCTGTGTGAAATTTTCGTTTCCTATCTCAAATATTTTTTAATCTGGAGAATTTAATAGACTGTAATATCATTTCAATTGCTATATTTTATCAAGGATTGCGAATTGCTCTTGTAGACATGTTGGAGCTGAGAAAATAACTTTCCAAGTGCACTTGTAAAATCTTATTTATTGTTATAAAATATAACAACATAATATAATAAAAAGCTCAAGTGCAAAACATTATCTTTAAGCTGACATCGATTTAATATATTAATTATAAGAATCGAAATACTGTTATTGAAACAATAACATATTGACTTAATCCATTCATTTTAATTTTTCAAAATTTTAGTATTAATTCTCTTAAAAACATTTGTGGATTAAAAATTAAGTTTCGTCATTTATTTACTTCAAAGTTACAATCGTAATTATACACTTATGCAATATAATTAGTGATTGCATAGTGCGATGCTATCGTGCACATGCATGATGACGATGAATGAACTTGAACACTGACATTGAAGAGGGCGCCACGTTTGATAGATCTACGTCTATCCATTCCAAAAAATTTAAAGACTGCTTCTTCTCAAAATTATTAATTAATACTACATATTTAACAGAAAATTGATGACTATGATTGCAATTTTTGACATAAAATGATTGAAATCTAATTTTCTTTTGATTAAAGATCTTGATTCATCGATTTAATAAATTGTGGATTTCAGATATAGTGAATTATCGACCAATTCACATCATTCTATTTTATTGGTTAAATAATAAGTTTAAATAAATTTTATATGAAATATAGTCTCAATGGCTGTGATTTACTCATACGAATTTTTATTTTAAAGAAATGAATATTTATTTCTCAAAGTAATTATGTATAAATTAAGCAAGGATTTATAACTCAGTTTAGTAACGATTTTTTTACTTGTTCAAACATAAATAGGATTAATTTTATTATAACAATCAAGAGTCGATAAAATAGATTTGAAAATTCTTTTCCTTAATTAAATAAAAATTAAAAAGATTTTAATTAAATTTAATTTTAAAATTAAAGGATATCATTAAACGAATCATTAAATTCGTTGTAATGATTGAAAATGTGAGCTCCAAAAAGAAGAAGAATGGAAATTCCATAAAGTGAGAAAAAACACATAAAAGAATGAAAAACAATGTGTATTTATTAAATACAGCTTTGTTATATTTATGTGATTTTACATTCAATACTATTAAACTTTAATATTTATATACAAAAGAAAATATTGAACAATTAGGTTGACATTATTTGTCTACCATTGTCGATGAGAAAAATCGATACACTTGTTTTCATTTCATTCTTCGTTTCAGTTTCTCATTCTTTGTTATTAATTAATTAATAAATCTGGAGAATATATAGTATATAGTATACATCTTATAATTGATATAATGTTTACAATCCAAAACGTGATAATTTTACATGGAAAAGAAACAATTAAATTTCTTATACTCGAATTTTCAATTTGATAAAGAAAAAAATATGAAATTTGAATGTATATACCTTATGGTGTCCTTGACTTAACGAATTTTACTGTAAATTATTTACGGTTTAATAACAATAAATTAATTAACAATTTATTAACAATAAATTAGGAAAAGCAATCACTTACAATTATTGTATTCCATGTTCGTGATTTTTATTTTGTAACACATTAAAACCACTATAATACATTTATAATATTAGAAGTAAAAAATAATTTATAAAAATTATAATATAAAATAATCATAAAAATTTCTTAGCATTTGAGTAATTAAAATAAAAAAACAATATTAAAAAATATTTCTAAAAATGTGTTATAATCTTTTTCGTTTGAAATTTTGTATGGAATAAAATAAGCAATACCTCTTTTTGAATCTCTTAAAAAGTGAATGTTTTATTTTAACTATTAAGTACAAGTATAACACAAATAATGGAAAATAAGTTAAGTCAGGGTGTGATATATACATGTATACGTAATAAATACGTCTATAATCTAACAATGTTTAAATTTAAAACAGTCGAAACAAATTTTGCCATCTGCATGTTTAATGCTTCAGTGATACGTTGGTACAAATTTCAATTCAACAGTAAAAATTCAAGTATGTTACTTCCATTTTTTAACAATAAATTTAATTACAATCAACTTTTCGTTTCACAAACTGATTTTATTTTCTTTTACAATTTTCCCATTTGTTTTCTTTTAATTCTTTAATAATTCAACGATAATAATTATTATACTTTGTTTCCAAGAAAAATACAATATATCAAAAAATCTGATAAGAGACCAACCTTACCACTGAATAATCAACTGCAGCAAAAACACTGGTTATTTCAAAACAGAAGAACAATCTTTCCTAATTATAAGATCTGTTAATTTTTATCGAATTTTTCAGAAACTGTCCCGCAGTCAGTATGGAACGAGTTGCCAGCGAACTTGAAGAAGGAAGTGGACGTCGAGATGAGTAACGAAGTCAAGTCTCATTACAGTCAACAATCTACGTATTACGACTCACATTAAGTTCGCGAAATTTATCCCGTTATATTAGACGAACTTCGTCTAAACCGGATGTCATAGATTTGGTTCGTTTTCCGCGGTAAAAACTGAAAGGTAGTCTTACTCGTGTGGATATATATTAATATCTTGTGTACGTTTCTCATTCGATATGGCCAAACCTCGTTCTACCGATCAACTTTTCGCATCACTGTCTGCTTTCCTCCTTTTTTTATGAAATTCGAAGTTCTGTAACATTAAAAGTGTACGTAATTAAAGATACAGCATGACAAATATCTTTTAATCAACCTTATTTTCTCTGCTAAGGACGAGCGAATTCTACGTGAGGGAAACATTAAAAATATTATATGTTGGGGAATGTATGCAACGAACGCTTAATCCTAATTAAAAGAGGAAAATTAAAATCTACATGTGCGCTTTTCGAACGAGGTGAATTATATTGACTCGTATTGTGATTTAGCGTATCAATACTTGATAGATGAGGCAGAAAAAAGATATGGAAAAGTAATTGCTTTCACGAGAAATGGAATTTTATTTACCGATAATTATGATGGAGATACGAATAAGAATAATTCTTGAAAATTAAATATAATGTAAGTTGTAAATGGACCAGTAAAATCAGAGATAGCATAAGTATATTCTTTTAAAAAATTCTGTTGTGTATTGACTTATGTTCATGTTTAAATATATAATTATATAATATATTACATAAGAGCAATTATAGCACGAATCACGTATAAAAATAAAATAATGATTTACAAATTGAAAAACAGAAACAATATTAGGTACATTTTTACATATTTTTCTGTACCCTTGCTTAATATTATTTAAGGGTGACTTCTGATGTTTCTGATCTTCTGAAATTAATTTTATCTTGGAAAAAGAAGCAAATAATTTTTAAAATTTCATCTCTAAAAGTTAACATAAAAAAATGAGTTTAATTTTTCAAAGTTAAATATAATTTAGTATACAACGTAATCGATGGTTCTTATAAATTAAAATGAAGTTTGAATGGTCAGATCTTTTGAGTTTTCAACATTAACGTTGTTACTTTTAGCCTGTAGGGTTATAAATATAATACATAGAAATTAATTAGTGTTTTTGCATCATTGATATTTTGTTCTAATATAATTGTAACATACAGAGTTTGGTGTAGTAATTATAAGGATTTACATATATACAGCAAATGCCAAAAAAAAGGGATCTTCCATTAACAATTCTTCAGACTTTATAAATATATAGCAGTTACAAACACTAAATAAAATAGAAAAGAAATCTTCGTCAATTCACATCATTACTAAATACAATTTTTAGTTTCTTTATTGAAAGATAAATAAATATTACCATTATCAGTTAAGCAAGTTTTTCCTTTCTTTTTTTTAACATCTATATACATACATATATATTCAAAACGTTATTTAACCTAATTCTTTTTTAATACCCTGTATATTGATATTAATATTCCACATTATAAACGCTATAATGAAACCATTTATTTTGAATAAAAGTTCTAAGAATAGTTCCACGTTGCTCCTGTTCCCTCATACTTGAAAGAAGAAGAAAATAAATAAAAATATCTATCATAATCGTTGAAAGTAAATTTAAATCCAAGTCGAATTTAAAATTATTTCTGTTAATTCTAATAGTATTTTTAATATTTCCAAAATTTGTTTTATAGCTAAATTACATATCACGTTTTACAATTAATTTGGTACATTGGTCACAGTTCAAAAAGCGCACATCTGAATTGTCGTTTCCTCTTTTACAAGTGATTGACAAGGTCGATCAAAGTGCCTGAAAAAATTCGTCGCTTTAATGGATTCTTTCCGTTAAAGAATAACTACCTACAACGTCACGGAACAATGAAGCTCTTTTCGATATTAAAAAACCTATATGTACATATTCGTATAAGAAAATGTCTACTGTACAAGACGGGCCAATGTAAATTTACTCTCTTAAAAATATTTCTACCGTACTAAACGTTATGAAAAAAAGCAATTCTTACGAAATACACCATGGTGTTAGGAAGAACAATATACGTGACAGAAAAATTTCGAAATATCTCTACGTCTTGTTTAAATGAATATTAGATGCGTAGTTTATTAACGATGTATATTGTGAGATACCAAAAAATATAATAAATATCGAAATAAATAACACATAAATATATACGATATTTAGGCCTTTCACAAATTAAAAAAAGAAAAAAAAGATCATTTACTACCCTTCTCTATTACGAATAAAATTTTCTTATACACTCTCCTCGTCGATTTACACAGATTTTCACTAATACCGTTTTTCACACGGTTGAGAACCACTTATATAGGGTCTAAAAACAAATAAAAGAAAAATATGTAAGTCAAGAGTCCCTGTATGCTGGGGAAATGTTTATTTCATACATTTGTATGAAAACAATAATAATAAAAATTCAGAAAAATAAAATAGAAAACAACTAAACTTTTCTTTTTATCACAAATCGATTAAAAAATCTCATAACGATGTAACAAATGCGATCAAATAAGAATTTTTTGATCATTGATCTATATGTAATAATTTGAATAAATATTATAGAAAAATATAATTCCTAAAAGCGTAAAAGCAGATCATGTATAAAGAGTACCGCGTAAATCGAAGAATGAGTGTAATATTCTCTCGCTTCGTACCATTTACAAAAATTGTTATATTCATAACCATTGTTCCCTCTAATATTTTTCCCCATTCTCGTGAATTTGCTGTTCCTTTGAGCACAGAGTTTTAATGACTGCGCGGTATCACGATACTAAGTCTTATATCTGACAACATCAAATACATAAATCGTCATTGCGCAGACACAAATTTTACAACGCGGGAACACTTGATATGCTTGCACGTTGCACAAGCGGTTATATACACACATTCTTATACGTCCGCGCAAGCGCAGAGGGATACACATATACGTTCTTATGAGCTCGCGCAAGCGCACAGGAGCATTTACATTTGTGCGCAAGCGTACAGTTTAGAGGGAACATCGTTTATAATGGATTTCCTTAAACAACATAAATACTTGGAAAGAATTTTTGTGTTAAATTACCATTCTGCTTATCGGTATGCTATGTATTCAATGTGCTATTTTAACATTCTGCATGGAAACGCAAAGTTCTATTATTACTTATAAATAGTCGAAGTCGGAGTCGAAGTAATTAAAAATACAACTTAATTTTATATCGATATTTACACTAAGGAACATATAGATACAATTATTTCGAAGCTACAACAATTCCTTTTCGAGGAAATTTATAATACATCAGATAAAGAGGAGATGGAAGTTACGTTTTAGATGTACTAACCATTGCAAGAGGCCGAATAAATGGTATACAACTATTATAAAATGGCGTGTATAAGGTACTTAACATATTTACAAATAAATACTTATTATAAGACGTGAATTATATAGGCTGTTAAAAGAAAATTTACGATTTTCAGTATTTATAATATCTTTAGATTAGAGTAAAAGATACTTATATGACATGTTTTTAAAATCAATACCTTCAGTGTAAAATAGTTCTAAACCAACAAATTTTTTATATGATTTGTTTAACAAAGCACAAAATTAAAAAAAAAAACAAACAAAAATTAATCAAAGTATCACATAGGAGTACCTTAATTAAAGAAATAATTAATTGCAAGGAAAATTTTAAAAATATAAAACAAAAAATTTATTTTCGCAAAAACACAAAAGTAATTGGAAATATATATTTTTTTTTAATTGAATAGAACATTTATAGACATTTTTCGAATAACATGGTTAATAAGTTTTGTTTAGAATCATATTATTTGAGATTTAAATTTTGAGATACAAATTTTCATCTTGTAAAAATATTTTAGTAGAGCATTATGCACAAATTTTTCCAATTTTTCATCGTGTCATTCAACATTAACATACAATTTGTATTTGTGCAATTACACTGTATTATTTATCGTTGAAAATATTAATTTTTAAATTTACGTCGATTAAATTATATTTTATCGCTTTCAGTAAGTACTATAAATACTTTAAAATAACATTAAATTCTTTCTTTTAACATCCTATATAGACGGAGATTCCAACGAATATAAAATAACATAAATTACGCTATTAAGGACTCATAATTATATTATTTGTTTTAGAGCTTTCGAAGAAAGAAAATACGACATAGTAATTGCGAGGGTTTTGGATTTTTCAAAGCGTATGAATTTTCTGAGTGAAGGAGAAGAGATGTAGGAGGAAGAGTAGATTATGCATTTAATTCGTCATAGGCAAGAAGACAGTCAATCGACGAAGTTAATAATATAATATTTCTTAAAGTTCGTTTTGCATGATTCACATATACAGAGTGTTTCGAAAACTGGTCGAACTTCAGTTGTATATCATACTATCAAAAAGATAAGACATGTAAAACCACGTTGAATTCCGAAATGTTTTCTTTCTAAGCATACATATAACAATAAGAAAATAAAATTAAAAATTATTCTAATTATTCTGTTTGTAATCACATTACATAATATTTAAAAATTGTATTAATGTGTAAATTAATTAGGTAGCTAGAGGAAGATTAATTTTTGAAAGTCTGTTAAATTAAATTCTATGAATCATTATATTGTAGTAAAACAATTATTACTTTCTGTAGTAAAATTCAAAATTCTTCAAATATTTTGAGACATCTGCTACCACAAAACACTGTTACAAAGTAAAGAAATTATATCCAGGAATTTATTTACATAAGATCTCTGATTCTCATACTCTGTTTTGAAGAAAATATATGTATATACACGTTGATACACATATATTAACCCTTTGAGCCTCAAATGCTTTTTACTAAGACTCTTAACTTCTACTATGAAGATCAGGCTAAATTGAACACTTTCTCATTCCTAATATCTATAATATTAAACGTAAATGTCAATTATCAAATATTCATGACAAAATTTATTGTCGAAATTAATATTCTTGAAACTGAAGGAAATATTTAATAACATAGAATATGGGCATATATATAAGTTCTGAGCCCTTACTTTACGCACGAATTCATAAACGAGAAAAGATTAGAAAGTTAACATTTCCAAATTCACGTTCGTATAATGTTTTTCACTACCCCCAGAAAATTAATAAATGATTATATTCGTGAAGTTCAACCAATGACATCTTAACTGCAAAAAAGTAGAATACTCGAAGAAAAAGCAGTTTTCTATCTCTGTGCTACCTAAACGCCTGAATTTTCTTGCAAATTTTTGTATCGAGTATACGACATTCTTTAACTGTGAAAACAGTATTTATTATACTTAATAGTAAAATGTTTCCAAAAGTGGAGATTTATCAAAAAGAAGTCAGCCAAATCGTTTCAGATTAGTTTAACCATGTCGAAGCTGATTATACTTTGAACTCTAACCAACCAATATTCATTTCAAGTATTTTACACTTTCCTTTATTATTTCAGAGTTGTCCAATATTATTTTTCTGATACCTCTATGCATAGTAGCATACCTATTTTCTTCCAAGATGATGCATATCACATAATATGTTATATTATATAATATTTATATAATATAATATATTTATTTTGACATTTATTTTGTATATATATATACATCAATTTTAATCCTTTAATAAAACTTTACATATGGGTTATGGACCATGAACAACATTTATTTCCCAATAAAATTGTTAATATATCAACACTGTGTGGATTTGCAGATTCTGTGATCTGCAACTCTCAAATACATGTGTATGTAAAGTGTTACATGTAAAGTATTTTCATACAGGTCATTATCATTTTCATTACAATTATTTTAATACAAAGTTTTATTACGAAAATGTCAAACACTTATTCACGTTTAAAAGTAGAACTACCCACATGTAATGTATACCTAAATACAGTAATACAGAAATGGTAATAATTGTAGTATCGTATTTTCCCATAGTTTAAGTGTAGCTTTAAGAGGATCGCGAACGAGAAAGCAAGGGTCAACAGAGGTCAAATTTGCTGGGGAAGACCCTTAACGATGCGCGAGGCCCTTAGGGTATGGCTATATTTGGGCACGTTTAAGGAAAAGTCCGAAAAGCGTGTGCATAGTAGTGAAAATGAAAGGAGCATTGAAGATAAACAGAGTGTCAGAAAGCAGAGTTGTATCAAGCAATGTGGAGGATTGTTGAAGAAGATCGAAAATTATGCTAAAGGTGTATTGTTCGATAATTTGTAGACTTGCTGTTATTCGCCCATTTTCCTAATTTTATTAATTATTGTCAATAAACTATTTTCATTTTTCCCACATAATTAAAGTGGTATGATGAAAGTAAATAACTACATGTAATAGACCTGGGCGTTCTGACAAATTTTCAAATTTCATTATTCGAGAAATAATCTATTTTTGAATTAATATAAATATTTCGCGAAGTATTTCACACGAAGGTAAATTAATATATTTGTAACTAAATAATTAATTTGCCAGTCTACGAAATAAATTATTTCTTATTTGCTACGATTATTTGTTCCTTAATTCTGATAGAATTAACTGGTTTCTTAGTATGCAGCATATGCTAATATGGAAATATTTATATTCTTACTAACGCTATTATTATGATTATTACTATGTTTATTGTACGATACTTATTCTGAATATTATCTCAAAAACAAATTTTCAGTTACGATATAAATCAATCAATTCTTCAATTTATTGTTCAATTAATTAAATAAAAAGCGTAACAAATTGAGATACACTACTTATATGATTATTAACGTTATTTAAATTACTTTCAAATTATTATTGGAAAGAAATTTCATTCAAGTCTTTATGTTATATTTGTATTTTATGTTTTTTTTCTATTTCGATAAAAGTCGGTGTCAGTTTTGTCAAAGGTAACTGTATATTTTCAGTAATTACTGCAAAAACAAAAAAATTCGAGGTTAGTTATTTTGACCAATTTGGTAGTTTTCGTATTGGTACTGATTATAACAGTGCCTTTTTATAAAAAAACAAGAAGTAATTTATGGTTCACTTAAAAATAATTAAAGAACCGAATATAAATTTAACTATCATGTTAAATATAGAATTAATAAATACCAAGTTTTTACTACACTCTGAAAAGTCTATTCTTTACACCTTTTCTTTACTTCATTCAAAATGTCCTTTTATGCAGGTTATTTGGCTAACGTAAAAGGTCGTGATCCAAAAAGCATTAAAAAATACCATTTTAATAGTTGCCTGATCTTCAGAATGGAAACGAATATAACAACTGTTTTAAGAATTTTGAATTAGAGTATACGTGATTATCGGCTTCGAATAGGTTAACAAGCGTTCCACTTTTTTGCAGCCAAGTATTTTTTCGAAACACACGAAGAGTAAAAGTTCAAATGAAAAACTCGATTCTAACGAGTGCAACGGACAGATCAGCCTGTTCCACTTCGCACGCGTTATGGCAGTGGTCGCTCAGAGCTTGATCGCTAAGGCAGTTGAGCGCTATTTAAAGAAAAAAGAGCAAGAAACCTTTGCAAAGAATCTTCTTCGAGAACATACTCTCGTTCAGTAAGTTCATTTATTTCCTAGTATACGAGCTAAGTATAGATAAAATAAATCTGATATTACTTCACATGACAACATATATCTTTCTCTCGTTACAGGAGGAAAAGTCAAAAAGTAATGGGGCTTTGCGATATTTCTATGAAATCAGTAAATAAAAACATTGATTATATCGTAATTAACCCTTTAATGATGAAGGAATTTCCTTTGTTGTTACACTGGGAAAATAAAAATGTGCTATATGTGAATTAATACAAAAACAATATTTTCGAAAAAATATTAAATCTCGTAAAAAAGTTCCTAAAATGGTAAATTTGTTTTGAAACGACTGGAAGTTTGGTTACTGCAAAATTATTGGAATGGACCCTTTAAGAATTCAATATTCCACGTTAACCAGAAAAATGATGTCAAGGTTAGTCATATGTAACTCTAATAGTAGATATAAACAATCTGCTGTTTACAATTTTGTTAATTTTTTTGATATTTTTAAAATAAAATTAATGAAACGAGAAATATCAACATGATAAGGTTTGCTAAAATGCAAAGCAAAGTCTCTCAATTTTATACACAGCTACATTAAATTAAGTTCTTTGCAGTTAAATTTTGATAACCATCAGTCTGTAAATTATTGTGGTATTCTTGTTTTTTTCCTTTTCTCATTTTCTTTTTTTTTCGTCAATAGCTGGATAGACAAATTATTTGGACAAGTAACTTTAAATAAAGATTTATATAAAAAGCAAGAAAGCAAATGTCTGTACAGTAAATTGATAGATAGTAACTTGCTATTCCTAATGATTCTTTTTCATCAGAAAAAGAATCTGGATATTCAGAAATTTATTCATAAATGGACTGAGTATATAAAAATGTGAGAAAATGAGTATATGGAAAATATATGGATTTCAAGATTCCTAGAAATAGTATTAAAGGATTTAATTTTTGAAATGTCCCTTTGCTTTTTAACTTTCCTTCATACATGCATATACCTTCCACTTTCTTTTTGTTAAATTTTCTTTCTCGAGTTTACTTGCACAAACAAGTATATAGTAATCAACTAATGAACACCTCGACCTTCAATAGGAAGTCTGTACGAGTAATTCACGTGATTCTTATGTTCGACGAAGTCAATGTTGTCGAATCATACATATTTGGTAGAAACTGTTAATATAGAGGGTGTCAAATAAAGGATATAAACTTTGAGTGTACATCGTGTTCGCCGAAATAAGAGATATTGTAATCGATATGTGTGCTAAATATTTAAGATACAGTTTCCATAATGATTACTTCAATTTTTAATTTTCGACTTTTATTGTTACGCGTTGTTCTTATACTGCTTATTCATCACAATTTTAATAATGAATTACATTTAACTTATAATTGAAATCAAAATTTTTTTAATTCTAGATATTTGAAAATTATAATTAGTCTTATTTAATAAACAAGATAACATTGCATATGATAATTGGATTATAAATTATTTTGTTACTATCATTAATTATGATAATTAAAATTTCAATTTACATCCTCATATTTGATTATCCATCTAAGATAATTGGTTCGAATAAAATTTTTCTTGAACAAACAAAGATGTTCTTTTATCTTGATGTTCTTATGTTAGATGCAAGAGAATTATAAAGTATTAAGAATCTGATACAAGAGTTACTTTTTTCTAATTATATATTTCAATGTAATGAATTATTTTATACAATATAGTATCACGTCAAAATTACTTGTCCATAAATTTACATCATCTTCTGAAATGGATTTTCAGATGCTCTAATAAAAAAACTTCTCCATTTTTAGAAGTTTAGTTTATTATATAAATTTTAATAGAATAAGTTAAGTACTCATAACACAGATTAAAGTATAATAAATACTGCATATTATTTTCATTTGTTTCAATTATGCCTTAAAAATACAAAGTATTGAATATTACAATGATAAAAGTACTATTTTTCTCTGTACTTAAATAAGTTCTATCAATAAAAGTTATTAATTTGGAAATTTTATTCTACTTTGTTTACCTAAATAAATTTCATGAATCATAGGTAACACAAGTTTCTTAATTTTTAAAAAAATTATTCTTTTTCCATTTTGCAAAGACTCATACTTTATAAGTATTTATTTCTTAACATAGAATTTTTATTTATTTTTATACATTTTTCAATTTTTAGGTGGAATGTAAAATTTAAAAATATGAAAAAGAATGTTATATTTTTTAATTTATAATATATAATATTTTATCTTGTATAACACATTAAGTTGTATCTCATTTTTACTTATTTCAACGAATACTGTACATATACTCTAAAAAGTTTCTTATCCTTTCTTTGACACCCTGTATTACCTTTATCGAGAATATATTTTTGTTGATAGTGTACACATAATTAAAATTTTCACTTTATAGATTCGATCATTAGGTTTAAGATAGTATTTTGTTAATTGAACATCTTAACACCAAGTTTTAAAATGTACATTAAAAGAACAAGTTTCAATGAACAAGTTCTTGGTTATTATATTCGATGGTCCAACAAACACAAATCCAAATAAAAGTACCACATTCAGGAATCTATTTTACTCGACTCTATCTGGTGCCCTTTTGATATCTGCACAATCAAATCGAATCTCAATTAAATACATATTTCTGTTCCCTTTATAAAACTACGTTTACTTAACTATGTAGATCACATTTGAAAAAACGTCTTTCAAGAGTAACGTGTCCGTTAAATAATATTTACAAGAAACAAAATAAAATAAATTTAATACGTCGAAAGGAATAATTCTGCTAGATTGACTTTAACAAGTGCCTATTATAAAACAAGAGCATCATACGACGAAAATTAAAATAGGTTAACCTTCAAATAAATTAAACACTCTATGCCCTATTAATTATTACTATATCAATAAATTATATCTGTCTTTAAATTTGAAACGATAACGTGAAATTAAACCACTTAAACACATAGGATCCACGAAAAAGGCAAGGCACTTGGAGACTTGCGTTTGACCGAAAAATATTCGGACTCGTATTCCAAAGAGCAAGTCCCTGCGCCATCGAAACGATCTCTCGATGTCCTCTTACTTATCCCATATGGATCAACTATTTATAGAGTCGTTATGAATTTCCACTCTCAGCTATTCTAATTTCGACGTGTGTCCTTGAACGTCTCGATTTTTATTTCCTTTCATTTTTTTAATCGAAACAACGGTTCTTGGGCAGTTTACGACACATTTTGTGGAAGTTTTATTTCGTTCGTTCTTTTCGAACAAACCCTCTAAAGTCAGGCTTTTATTGTGGTCCTAGTCACGTGCTTTGCTTTTAGTCAATCTTAACAGCGACTTCTAAATATCTCTCGTTCATAAAACAGAAAAGGGTTGTCCCTGTTGGGACTTGAACTATCCAGACTCTTAACTACATGTCTCTAACAGACACTTTCGGCCATGTTGCATATATTATCATCTTTTACGTCTAAATAACTTTCTTAGTTTCGTCGATGAAACAGCATGCACCATGCCTCCAATTACTTCGTTGACTCGACAAATATTTTACCGCTTGAATCTTTTCTTCTCTCTTCTAATTCTTATCTATCTCGAACTTTCTTTGCTTTCTTTGATCTTGGAATTACTCTTGGGTTTGTTCGATTGAACGTACGATGAAAGTTCTGGCTACCAAGCATCCGTGTATCTTATGTCGTACTCTTGCAAAGCTGGCAAGCACTTCTTCAGGGATTCGAGCGTCTGAACTGACAGTTTGGTGCTGTTCAGGATTAGCTCTCTTAAGCTCGTTAATGCTGTAAATTAGGAAATTAAGTGAACATCAAGAGTACTTAAAAAATTAGAGGAAGACATTAGCTCTACATGTACAGTATATGAATACTTAACCCCTTAATGTATCCTTAATGCATCCCTTAATGCATCTCTTAATGCACATTTGCACTTAGTGTTATGTATTATTTTTATAAGAAATGTCATATGATAAATAAAAAAGTATAATACTTTTCAAACTAATCTCGAAATTAAAATAGATATTAATCCTTGTATTTTTCAAAATAAATTCTTTTCAATAACAATATGCTACACAAATAAAAACTAAAATATGACTAACATCTAGATCACAAATCTTTTAGAAGCAAATATTCTACTTGCTCTTTTAAGTTGATTTTTAAAATATCTTTAAAATATCAAGTGACAATAAATATTCAATAAAATTCAAGCAGAAATGTTTCTTATAAAAATATAAAAATAGGGATTCATAAAAATTAATTTTTAATCTAGCAAAATACGTGTTCCTTGGATACAACTATATCGGTCCATGACCTGATACTTTTTCTAAGGTACTTACAGGTCAACGTAGAAATTCCTTTATCAGAAACAGGGGTTTCACAGAGATTCAGAACCTGCAGTGTCTGCAGATGTTCGCTAATCATTTGCAGGCCAGCGTCACCGAATTGCGTTCCCCACAAGTTCAAATTTCTCAAAGCTGGTAACTTGATTAACTGCTCGGCACAGGCAGAGGTGACCGAGGTAAAGGCCAAACTAAGGTATTCCAGATTACCAAGAGCCCTTCCGTTTAGGAGTAGAGCGACATCCGCATCTGTCGCGCGGGCTGGCAATGATAATCGTCTAGGGCCACCTTCTCTTAACTGTTTCAAACAAAAATGAAGTATAATTATTTTATAAAAAATTAATGCTTCGTTACATATTCAAAATCTTTTATAAAACATACACTTTACTGAAGTACCTTAAAAATCAATCTATGTGAAGGAAAAGGTATGCAGTATTATTTAACACTAAACGTACCAAGCGGAATCAAATGACCCCTTTCAAAATTTACAAAATTTACTTTATATATATATATTACATTCATTGTTACTTCTTTCGCTCATCTGACTTCCTGTAAATTCTCATTTTTCTCTTAACTTATTTTTTACCGAGAAAAATTCTTTGCACACCTTATATACCATTTGACCCCCTATGGTAAGAATAGGTGTGTGTAAAATACCGGTACGTTTAGTGTTAAAAGGAATGTTATTTAAAAATTATTTGTTATTTAAAAATATTATTCAAAATGGCGTACTTGTACTATTTGTAACGTTACTTTTACAATGTTTCATTTACTTACTAGTAATTTAATAATCACTATATAATTTTATAATAATAATTTTATAATAAT